CTAATTTGGCAAAGAATTTGATGTAAACCCGAGGCAAAAGTGGTCCAGTTTAATGTTCTGCACAACATAGTTTTCTTTCCTGATTTTTTTTTTTTTTTTTTTTTTTTTGGCAGTGACCTTCCCTGACCCTTGCCTGGCCGGCACACCTGGTCAACCAAGGTGACCTGCCCGCCGCCGTTGGTAATATATATATGTATTTTTTTAATTCAAACCTATATGCTTTTTGCAATGTTCGTGTCGCTCGTCACTCTGTGTCGTTCTCTAAGTGCTTGTTTTTTTTTTTTTTTTTGCTTTTTTTTTTTTGTGTGTGTGTGTGTGTGCTCGTGGGATTTGGATTTTGCAGCTGAACAATGTGCGAATGCTGGAGGGTTTCATTGCACAGAATAAAAGGAACTACTTAGACTGTTTTCGCAGTACAGAAGCTGAAAGAGATGACATTGAGCATCAGGTACTTCTACAGGATTTCTTATTTTTTCGGGGGGGTGGGGGGGTGGGGAGGGGAGGCGGGGCGTAGCTTTTCTATCTATTTTGAAAGTGCGTGCCAAATATTATCCCATCTGAAAAGAGTCTTAGTTGCAACATTGATTTCGTTTGGTATCGTCGCTTCGTTTCGTCGTCGTAGTAGAAACGGTAAACGGTAGAAGGCGATTATCATTTTGTCGCTTGAGCTGCACGGCTATTTTAAGTTTGAAAGTTTGATCGTCGTTTTTTTTAACTTTTTTCAACTTTTTTTAGCTCTTTGTCCGTATTTGTTTTTTTTTTTTGTGCGTGGCCGTCTGACGAGTGCCTGGCAGTTTTGCCAGGGATTCTGAAATTTTCTGCATCTCAGGGCATACTTGCACTACCGGTACTGCTTTTCTAAATGAACCTGACGGGTATTCCACCCGGACCTGGATGCATCTGGCAGGGATCACGTCCAGAGCTCAGTCCAATAGGTTCCCGGTGTGAGTATGCCCTCAGTTACGTTTCCGCTGATTTCCACTGCAATACCTTTTATCAAGCACCAAGGCTCTTTTTTTTTTTTCTTTTTTTTTTTAATTCAGAGTTGTTTTTCACTCTCTATCTCATTCCACTGGAATTCGAAGTCAGGTCTGTAAGACTCTGTATGTAGTCAGAGCTCATGATACCCCTTTTTGGGGGGGGTTGTAATTTTGGACCTTTTTTTCTCAATTTATTTATGCGTGTCATCCCTGGGCAGTAGCCATGCTAATCGATTCCGTATTTGTTTGTACTCTTTTTTTTTTTTTTTTTTACTTTTCTTCTATTTGTTCCAAATCTAACATCTGTCCCGAAGGAGACAAGTAGCAGCACCCCTCAGTGGGAAGCTCTGCCTTGGCCTTGAATCTGTATGTTGTGTCCTTTTCTGCAATATACCTTCCATCAAGCAATATCAACCCCCTTTTGGTTGGTCATAATTTGCATGCGGCAAGCCATTTTTTTTTCTTTTCTTTTTTTTTGCATGTGGCACGTTGAAAACGAAAATCAGTGCTCAAAACTCAAATAGCCGTCAGAGAGATGTGAACCCCCTTTTGGTTGGTCATAATTTGCATGCGGCACGCCCCCCTTTTTCTTTCTTTTTTTTTTTTTTTTTTTTTTTT